AAATGAAGCGATATTGCTCAATTGTATGCATAAGCGTGAATCTTTTTTCTTGTAAGTGGGAGTGGAGAAAAATCACCAACTTTTGTTTTTGGACTTAGTCTATGATTCACTTATGTTTATAAACTATTTATAAACACCCTAGTCACTTTTTATGCACAGGACCATGAGTACTACCCACTTAACTTCTATCATTTACCCTGTTATAAATACTTCCCAAACATGCTATTATTTATGACATTGCTTGGAACTTATATTGAGAGATTTGAGTGTTTTGGTAGCTAAAAGTTGCAACCTAGGTCACAAAGTAGGAACGTGGAGCTCAAGAGTACTGAACAGGAATTGTGAGGCATCCAGGGGTTCCATATTAGATACTTGAACATGAAAGAAGACTATCAACCTCGAAGTTTTAATGTCAAATGAGAATTCTAGGAAATGAATATTCACTAGCATGCTTTGATATGTTTTACTTACGCTTTTCTTACAATGTCGCCCTGATGTGGAGGATCCTTAAAAAAGAGCAATATGGTAGAGTTTAACTAGATGAACTAATTACTATTGCTTCCGTAAAAAATATAATTTCCTCCTCCACTGTTATAGTGAGCCCAGTTTTTTGTTTGTGTGACAGTTAAGAGATTATGGTGGTTTTGATGAATTGATTGACTCAGTCCAGGAAGACAAGAGACTACAGTCTTGGAACAATTTGTATTACTTTATTTTCTCTAATTACACCAGTTTAATTAATTATGGTTAATTTTATAATTTTTAGGATTGTAGGGACTAAGAGTGCAATTTCTATTATAGATAGCAATTAGGTCTAACAGTGGACACAACAGTGTTATTTTTGGTTGGAATATTTATATTAAAAAATTGAATAGAGTTGTGAGAATTTTCCCCACTTTTTTTTTATCCAAGCATGAATCAACTATCCAAGCATGAATCAACGAGTGTTTGGTGCCTAGTTTTATGGCATTCTTAGAAATCAACAAAAACTAGAAGGTAATCGTGTCGTGTTATTTGTTTGGAATCAACGAGGGTTGATCGTGTTTTTGTTCATAGTTTCACGCTTCTCTCCGCTCCAATGACACGAGTGCTTCAGCCACACGTCAGATGAACCACACTCCCTGTTCACGTCTACCTTTTAGATTATTGTTTTTTTACCTGTGTTAATGTGAAGAATTGATTGTTTCAGGCGGAGGGAAGCTACATGGATGCAGCCAAATTAGTGATTCACCTTAGAGAATGTGGTTTGAAGCCAGAGTTGTACAGCTATTTAATTGCAATGACAGCTGTAGTGAAAGAGTTGAATGAATTAGGCAAAGCTCTACGCAAGTTAAAGGGGTTCACCAAATCTGGTTTGATTGCTGAACTGGATGCGGAAAATGTTGGGCTGATCAACCAGTATCAAGAAGATGTTTTGGATGATGGTGTGCGCTTGTCTAAATGGGTTATTGAAGAGGGCGGTTCATCAATCCATGGTGTGGTTCATGAAAGACTTCTTGCTATGTATATCTGTGCTGGGCGTGGAGGTGACGCTGAAAGACAGTTGTGGGAAATGAAACTTGTTGGTAAGGAGGCTGAAGGAGATATCTATGACATTGTGTTAGCCATATGTGCTTCCCAGAAAGAAGTCAGTTCTATTGCTCGGTTGCTTACCCGAACGGAGGTTACAAGTTCTTTCCGGAGAAAGAGAACCCTTTCATGGTTGTTAAGAGGTTATATTAAAGGTGGTCATTTTGACAATGCTGCAGAGACAGTAATCAAGATGTTGGACATGGGTTTGTATCCAGAATACCTTGACAGAGCTGCTGTGCTGCAGGGATTAAGAAGAAGAATTCAACAACCAGGAAATGTGGACACTTATCTCAATCTTTGCAAACGTCTTTCAGATGCAAATTTGATTGGTCCCTGTCTTGTTTATCTGCATATAAAGAAACATAAACTTTGGGTTGTGAAAATGCTCTGAGTAACTTGGAGAAGAGCCGAGAGATTCCGATATGCTTCTAAAGGTTTGACTTCAATCTCAGTGGAATGAATGCGTATATTTTGTATAGTTCTTGAACGACTTGAGAAACTAAATGTGTATATATATGTTTTATTGTGTTATGCTATGATGGTCTGACGTGACAATAAGATCACAACTTCTTGAAATTCGGAATTTCAATGAGTTTTCCATCGTCAAATTTTCGATTTGATTATCATCTATTGTTTCCTTAAATTTTTGACTGATACAGGAAATAAATAAAAATTGAAATGGCAGACGGATCCCCAAGTTATTCCTTAAACGTTGGGAAGGTGCGGAAGCAACGTTTGCCACGCTCTGAAATGCTGTTTTCTGCAAATTTGAGGCCGTTTTGATTCTGCTTTTTCCTCCTCATTATACTCAGAAGAGTAATAATGTGCCTCTGTTCCTTTCAATCAATCTTATTTCCATTTGCATATAATTTTTACAAAATTTCATCAACCTTAAATTTTCCTTTCGTGAGATGAATGAACTAATTTCCAACGGGTAACTTGATACATAATCTAATCTTTCATATGTAAATATTTTATTCACTTTCAAATCCAATAATCTTATTGTTTACTTCAAATATTGCTCTCCTCTATTTTCCAACTATGGCTACACAGTAGTACTTTACTACCATCGATAACTGTTCTGTTGGACTTGGAAATATTTAAATATTATTGTTCCCTCTCTCTCTCACCCCTCATTTTATTCTGTTGAGCTTAGACCCTTGTTTGGTTCCATTTTTTTCAAAATATATTTTTTCTTTTATTTTTAACCATACATTTTTCAATAAAATAATATTACACTTAAATTCAAAAATTTTCTTTATTTTTTAACTATATATTCTCCATCAAATTACTATTCCAAAATACATTTTTAACAAAAATATGAAGCTCAAACAAGCTCTAAATAGATTGTTAGAAACTTAGAATACGGCAACCAAAGTTCTGTTTGGCCCGACCCGAAAAGCTCGTAGTACGACATTTATATGTGGTGAAATACGTTTTATTATTCTCTCACCATTTGTATAGATATGATGTATTTTAGGATTTTATTATATTATCATTCGGAGTGGCCGCACCTCATGTACTCATATTTGATACAGTGAATTTCTCTTCCTTTGTTATTGATTTTTTTTTCCGTTTTGAATTTTCACTTAAATCTTGTATTCTTGTTCTTATTTTATATATTGTCTATTCTCGCTTTTGCATAACATAGACAATTTAATTGTGAGAGTTGTCATGCTTTAATTTGTTCGTACATGTATACATCACACTGAATATAGAATACTGGAATATTATTTTTACAATCATGCTACATGTACATAATCATTCACACAATCTTTTACACCCCCTCACATGGAGGGGGGTCCTACACACAATAAAA